AGACGCGCGTTCTGTCTCGTTTCCGGGAAGTCATAACATTCTGTCGTTTCCGCAACTAGATGCTCGTTCAACCATATAGAACAAGTGCACTTTGCATGGGAAAGTCGAAGCGGAAGTCATAACATTCGCCTTGTTCCCCAAGTGGACGCTCGATTTCAGAATCACCCGCTCCAGACACACATCATTTGGCATCACAATGCACGACAACCAGCCATTCCCCACGTAGGCGCTCGATTTCGCAAGCACTCACTCAAGACAAAGAAGAGTAAAATCACAGCACTTCACAACCAGCCATTCCCCAACTAGACGCTCGATTTCACAAGCACCCACTCCAGACACAGATTATTTGGCATCACAATGCACGACAACCAGGCTTTCCCCTTCCCATGCGGAGGTGCAGGTGCGCATCTCCAGCGCCAAACAGGGTGACCGAGACGCTTCCTGATAACAAGTCATTGCTATAAACAAAAAGACAGCCGCACACCCAAAACGACAGGACATTCCTAGGAAGACGCTCGAACTGTCAGGCAACCGGTGTTCCGAACGCAAACCTATTCCGCAACTAGACGCCGGCATCGCAACTGAAACAACACGATCCGACGCCTACGAAAAAAATGATTTACGAAGGTGACGCCCCGAAATCACAAGTTCCATCTCAAACGTCATCAAACGTTGAACATGTAATTCCCGAGTGTGGACGCTGTTTGTTAAGATTTCTCGTTCTGCTTCCCCCGCGAAAGTTTGCAAAGGCTCTACACCTGTAAAACGCGAAGACTTACTACCCCTTTCGGGTATTCAGAGACTCCAAAACCCTTCATTAAGGAATCTATTAGGGTTCCTTTTTTATCTGGTCCTATTTATAATTTGAAAGGCATTCCTTAATTAAAGGATTTTGGAGTCTCTGGGTCGGTAGATAAGTAAAATAGCTGTAGAACGTTGTAACATACTTTCCCCCAACTACACGCTGATTGGGCAAACTTCCTGAAATTCTTCCCCGCTCTTGCTTGTGACATCCAGAAACGGTTAACTTTCCGGCTCAACTGTAACATGTGAAACACCAAGTCGACACCCAAAGGCAACGACCCCCCCAAAAGGCTTCCCCGAAGTACTGCTGGCCGCGGAAACGGAACGCAACGACTTCTACAGGTGGGAGTAGATAAGCTCTTTTTTGGACGTGTCTCCAAGAACAGATTACTTGAAACACCATGTTGCAACCCGCTTGAAGCCCAAACCCGCGTACCGAGTGTTGACTTTCGAGAGCAACTTCATTGTTGATCCAGATTTTCGTTTAATGGCGGTTTCTCATGAGGCGGAACCCTGAAACATAAAGAGTTTCGCTTAAGCATGCTGCGGCGTGCCTGACCAAGAAAATCCATTTCTATGGGGACCCGAACGATACCCCAGAATGATACGTGTACGATACCCCGAACGATAGCTCCAACCTCCATGATCCAGACACTTGCCCTTCGCTTTCTTTCGGCCTCTTTACACGTGTTCAGCAAAACCTTGTATGCGGGCTACTTTGGATAGAAGCCGAGCAGCGAAACAACCCATCAGAACGGCCATTCCCCATGGAAACGTTCGATTTCACAGGGATCGTTGTTCAGCAAATCCCTGCTTTCGGGCTTCTTCGTATAGAAGCCGAACAGCGAAACAGCACATCAGAACAGCCATTCCCCATGTAAATGCTCGATTTCACAAGGATCGTTGTTCAGCAAATCCCTGTATCCGGGTTACTTCGTATAGAAGCCGAACAGCGAAACAGCACGTCAGAATGGCGATCCCCCCTGTAAAAGCTCCATTTTACAAGGATCGTTGCTCAGCCATCCCCTGTATTCGGAGTATTTCGTATGGAAGCCGAGCAGCGAAACAGCACATCAGAACAGCCATTCCCCATGTAAACGCTCGATTTCACAAGGATCGTTGTTCAGAAATCCCTGTATCCGGGTTTCTTCGTATAGAAGGCGAGCAGAGAGACAACATATCAGAACAGCCATTTCCCATGTAAACGCTCGATTTCATAAGTATCTCGATGTTAAGGATCTCGATGTTCAGCAAATCCCTGTATTCGGGCTACTTTGGATAGAAGCCTAGCAGCGAAACAACCCATCAGAACAGCCATTCCCCATGGAAACGTTCGATTTCACAGAGATCGTTGTTCAGCAAATCCCTGCATTCGGGCTACTTCGTATAGAAGCCGAACAGCGAAACAGCACATCAGAACGGACATTCCCCATGTAAACGCTCGATTTCACAAGGATCGTTGTTCAGCAAATCCCTGTATCCCGGTTACTTCGTATAGAAGCCGAACAGCGAAACAGCACATCAGAATAGCAATCCCCCATGTAAACGCTCCGTTTTACAAGGATCGTTGCTCAGCAATCCCCTGTATTCGGAGTATTTCGTATGGAAGCCGAGCAGCGAAACAGCACATCAGAACAGCCATTCCCCATGTAAACGCTCGATTTCACAAGGATCGTTGTTCAGCAAATCCCTGTATTGGGAGTATTTCGTTGGAAGCCGAACGGCGAAACAGCACATCAAAATAGCCATTCCCCATGTAAATGCCCGAGTTCACAAGAACCGTTGTTCAACACATCCCTGTATCCGGGTTACTTCGTATAGAAGGCGAGCAGCGGAACAGCACATCAGAACAGCCATTCCACATGTAAACGCTCGATTTCACAAGGATCGTTGTTCAGCAAAGCCCTGTATTCGGAGTATTTCGTATGGAAGCCGACGAGCGAAACATCACATCAGAATAGCCATTCCCAATGTACATGCTCGATTTCACAAGGATCGTTGTTCAGCAATTCCCTGCGTATAGAAGGCGAGCAGCGAAACCCCATGTAAACGCTGGTTGACACGACTTCCCCGGCACCTTCCCCCCATCTACTGGCGTGGATCGACAGGACGCGGCAACGACTTCAACAGTTCGGAGAGTAGGACGTGGAGACGGGTGAGCTTCAGGTACTGAGTCTCAGATTGGGGGTTCAGCGTAGAGCCCTGGAGTCCTGCGCGCGGTTTGAGAACTGGTTTGCCTCATCCAGCATCTTGACCTTAGCACAGGGACGCGGGACTACTTAACTCTGCGGCTACTTGCATGTAGACACCTACGATAATTACCATTACGATGTTACTACCCATGGTATCTAACACCGTCGCGGTAACAAATGCTTAACGCTCCTGGCTTCGTACTCACTCCCGGCATCATGGTTACGAAGCCAACGGCCCAGCCTGCTCGGCTGCACGATGAACCCAAGAACCGAGTTCAGCTGCCTTGGGAACAAAATGGACGAATCCAGGTTCAACAAAGGTGCTCATTCTCAGCAACAGAATAGCTAAAGCAGCATCCCGGCATCCCAACGACGAAACATCCATGGGGATGAATACTGCTTTCTTGAATCCGATGTTTCGGCACACGCCGAAATGCTAAAAAAAAATCATCTGGGCTTCGTTGCAATCTCCTCTGCAGCTGGAGCCTGAAGATGAAGGTCGCTGCCTACCTGGCACGAGGCACGAGGTGAACCCCAATTACTCGGCCGCGCCAACGTCCCAACGTCCTGGTCCTGGCCTCTGCAGCCCGCCGCCTCAGGTTTTCTGCAGCGTCGCTGAGGGATGCGCCGGCAGCTGCCAGGTTCGAGACCTTCCAACGTGTCGCACGCAAGCCCTCTGAGGCTGGTGACCTGTGAGTGCTTGGGACTTGGGACCCCGCCCAGGCTGGCATCGGCCCCACACCTAGGGTGACTCGCCGACCCAGCACTCCAGCTGCTATATGAGACGGAAAGGCGAAGCATCGCATCCTGAACTTGGCAGCCGAATCGCCCAGCTCGATGCAGAGGACGTTGCAGAAGCTGCAGCAGTTCCTGCGGAGAAGATCGTATCCTCGGGGCAGAAGGCCGAAGGCAGAAGGGAACATCTTGGAAGCCATGCTCTCCGCCAGGCCGCCGGTGCCCGGCCAGTCCAAGGCCAGCCTGCCAAGGACGGACCTCACCTGGCACCGCAACACCGCATGGCACCGCTACGTCACCAAAGGACTCGAGGACGGCGCTCTCTTCCCGGCTGCGAGTGCCTCGTCGGAACTGAGAGCCGTAAAGCCCATGTCAACTGCCTCGCGGTAGCTGTGGCTGCTGCACTCCTGCGACATTTAGACAACTTAGACAACAACCCTCGATCCGTCTCTAAGGCCAGTCCTTCGGCTCACAGTCGAAGATCCCAGAGCCTCGCAGCGCTCAGAGCTCTGAACTCACACTGCAAAATCGTTCGTGTCTCGTCTCTGCTCTCTCTGCTCTGAAGGCCTCCATCGCAGTAGCCGAAACTGTACTCTCGACCATAGACTTCGACACCTGAGAGCCGAGAGGACAACAGCTTCCCTTTTGTGATGCTGATGCCGTGCGCTGCATCCTCCACACATTGACATGAGCTCGGAGGGAAACAGAACTGATAGCTCAATCAATCGAAGCCCTACATCCGGACCTGCATGGAAGGCACCGGTGCCAGCTGCCCGGAAAACCCTCGGCAGCCAAAGGTGCTAGAGTAGTGGCAACACTGCCCGTCTAGCTCAAAGCACAGCCGAGCGACTGATTGAGCTGCTGAACTGCACCGTTACCCGTCACATCGTAGATGTGGACGGAGACGCTGGCGGATTCGCTTTGCAGGGGAGTGCGGTCTGCTTCTGATGTGCTCCCTTCTGTGTCCACGTCCGCTCGAGCACGTCCACGGCGCTGGTCCAGGCGCCGCCGCAGCGCCGCTTCCATCCGTCAAAACGAGACCCTACCATTTCATACCATCGCCTGGCTTTCTATTATTCTATCCAGGTATTCCCCCACCCTGCGCTTTCAAGCCGGTAGCAGGGGCACATATCTCGCAGCACTTCATGCCCAGCCAGCTGCAGGGGATGTTCTTAGCTCATCAGGCTTCGCATACCGGCATACTCAAAGCCTTATCTGAAGGCATATCAAGCGACAGCAGGCGGCCAAACCAGTGTAATCACTCCAGTGTCAGATGTTAACCACACCACTCGGAAGAGTCTCCTTGCTGCGGAAGAGCCCGCCTGCATCCGACCTGCGCCCGTCGGACCAGTGCGACAGCGCCTCGCAATGCTGTGGCACATGGACCCACCGTATCTGCACCGCATCCGCTTCTGTCGAGACAATAAGCGTAAACAAGAACATGAGAGTGCATGCTACTCTCCGCAGCAGACCTGCCGCTGAAATGCCATAGGCCCGGACTGCATTCTCAAGTCGATCTGCGACAAGCGACAGCCGCAGCCGAACATCCGACCGCCTGCGCAACAGCCAGAATCCCAAAGCTGAAGGCTCCACCTGACCACAGTGTGAGGAGGGAGCCGAGGGCCCCCGCCTTCCCTCGCTCGGTCCACGGGGTCCTGTCACGACGCTTGGAGATGTGAAAAGGCGCATTGCCATGGCAGGGCATCACCTTTTCCCGCCAGCTTCAGACCCTTGGTTGCAGACTGGCCTGAGAAGACTGTACATCGTCTCGAGTCGGGGTACTCAGATTGAGATCAGCAGGGTTGTGTCGGAGATGATTAATCTATTTTGTCATCGTCAACCCCTGCCCATCTCATGTGTTGCACCCGCTGTGCACTTTATGCGCAGGTGGAGGACTTAAATTCTGTGCAGCCTTCCTGTTGACTGCCAGAGCTCCAGAGAGCTTCCATTAACAGAATCCTTTACATTTAACCAGCATGCGCCGGTGAGAGAAGTAAGCAGCACCGTTCTAGGAATGTTGTTTGGCTGTTGCTATAAACCTGACAGAGTTGAAGAGAAACGGTGAGCTTGGGATCCCTGTTTATCGGTCAGGCTTGGCTCATGCGCGAGTCTTTCCCCGCGAAGGCCGCGAGATGTTCTGGCTCGGACTCCGCGGACGAATGCCCAATGGACGTGCTCGAAATGGATCCTCTGGGAGAGCCGCTTGATCGACGTTGTGCTGTCAAGGTTAAGACGCTTCAAAAAGCTGGCTCGTCGAACCAGCCTCACCCTCCGAATGCCGAATGCTAGGTCTGCTAGGTGCTTGAAACCCCGGTCCTTCGTCAGAGGAATCGTAGCACTTGGCCTCAGTTCCACAAACTGTTGCCAGCACAGCCCACACCACACTCACACGGCGGCTTTCTCGCCTTTCAATGTCGTTTTCGATTTGTTGTAAACTGCGGAGTTCTCGAGATCTTCGGGATCTTCATCGATCGGTGCTTGTCTGGGGCATCGGACTCATCGTTCCGGTACGGTAGGAAACCCGGTGCTCAGACGAGATGTCGCTGGCGTGTGTGAGGAGCAAGTTCATATTATGAGAGATCGGGCCTGGAACTAGTAGTGACTACTAAGATTACTTGTGCTCGTATGCTGCTAAGAGCACTACTAGAGCCGCTAAAGTCTTGGGATGGGGCAGTTCCTAGGGTTTGGGACGAAGTCGAGAGTCGGCAAGCTGCACACCACTGCCACAGGGAGCACACTTGGAGCACTAGCGGCTGGCGAAGCCCGGAAGCACGCTAGAAAGCAGGATGCACACGCATGATTCGTCTCGGTCAGTCACGATGAAAACTAGGCACATTGATTCCCAGTTGAACTGAACTGTCTCCATGTCACCGTTCGGCCGCTGATGTGCGCATATCGTCCGACTGCCAGCCTCAAATTCATGGATTAAGGCATGCAAACTTGGGCTCACTTCGGAATGTTCCTAGCACAAGCGCAAGTGGCCGAAACTTCCAAGAACAATGTATATACGTAGATGTATGCGTGTATATATATATATATATATATATATATATATATATATGGTAACCCCCCCCCCCCGGGACCAACCTCGGCCATTGTCCTGCTCATTACTGTCTTCACAGCGTCATGAATAAGAGCCGAAACCACTGTAAATACCGATGGTGTTTGTGTTCCCGTACAAAGTTTGCACTCTCGACGCTTCTTGACAGACTGGTAAAAAACAGGGTCCAGTTTTATGGACACCATTTACACTCTCGGCGCGTCTTGTCGAAGTGGTAAAAGACAGAGTCCAGTTTGTGTGCCTCATCCTTTATTAATTATTGTCATCTTGTCAAAGTCTTATTATTAGTTTCAGTCTTAAAAAACAGTGTTAACATTGGTCTTGACTTAATTTTGTTCTAAGTTTTAACCTCAACTATTGTGAGTAGTAACCTCAATATTTTTGCTAGCGTTAGCATTATTATTAGTTTTGTGTCATTACTAATTTTAGAAGTTTTAACAATGCTGCTGGTATCTGTCCAATATTACTGTTCGTTTGATTAGTGTTCCTGTTAGTGCTGATGCTGGTGTCAGTGTCAACGTCAGTGTTAGTCTTAATATTAATATGAGTATTAGTGCTCCAGTTTAATTTAATATATGTCTATAGCAGTGTTAGTGTTAGTGTTAGTATTCGTATTAATATTAGACGTGGGCTGGGCTTTAAAAACTTAGTCTTAGTACATTATGTGTATAAGTATTCATATGTGTATATTCAGTATATTGGTATATAAACAAAACATATATATTCATAAAAAATTTTTTGGTATACTCGTATATTGGTATATTAGTAACAATGGTCTATTGGTATATCAGTTTCTCAGTATATTAATATATCAATTTATTAGTATATTAGTATAATACTATGGCCGTACATATTGGTAAATGAAAACATTGAGTTTTTAACAATCTGATGCATTCATTTCCTTGTGCCTTATTCTGATGTATTCTTTAGTATACATTACAAAAACGATATTGACATTAATATGATGTTTGTAAGTTCATATTGGTATTGATATTAACATGAGTTGTCATCTTGTCAAAGTCTTATTATTAGCTTCAGTCTTTAAAAACAGTGTTAACATTGGTCTTGACTTAATTTTGTTCTAAGTTTGAACCTCAATTATTGTGAGCAGTAACCTTAATATTTTTGCTAGCGTTAGCATTATTATTAGTTTTGTGTCATTACTAATTTTAGAAGTTCTAACAATGCTGCTGGTATCTGTCCAATATTACTGTTCGTTTGATTAGTGTTCCTGTTAGTGCTGATGCTGGTGTCAGTGTCAACCTCAGTGTTAGTCTTAATATTAATATGAGTATTAGTGCTCCAGTTTAATTTAATATATGTCTATAGCAGTGTTAGTGTTAGTGTTTGTGTTAGTATTCGTATTAATATTAGACGTGGGCTGGGCTTTAAAAACTTAGTCTTAGTACATTATGTGTATAAGTATTCATATGTGTATATTCAGTATATTGGTATACAAACAAAACATATATATATTCATTAAAAAAATTTTTGGTATACTCGTATATTGGTATATTAGTAACAATGGTCTATTGGTATATCAGTTTCTCAGTAGATTAGTATATTAATTTATTAGTATATTAGTATAATACTATAACCATACATATTGGTAAATGAAAACATTGAGTTTTTAACAATCTGACTGAAAAAACATACCAATGCTGATATTAATACGAATGCTAACATTCATGTATGAGCATGTTATTATGCACGTTCCCACTAGCCTTAGTGCTAATATTAGCATGAATATGAGTACTCCAAAAATGAGTAATTTCACGAATATGCATAGCCAATATTCATACTAGCGATAATACTAGCTATAGTATGTGTATTAGTATTCGCATCAAGACTATTCATACAATGTACATGATTTCAAGTATTCTTGGGAACATCAGTATTCATACTCAGTTTCACCAGTAGTATTACTATAAGTATTAGTACTCGTATGAGTATTATAGTTTTCAAAGTTTTCAAAATAATATCAATATTACTACAAGTATCAGTTGCACAGACACGTCAACCGGCGACGTCGCGAGGTCGAGTTCCCTAAATTCTCTAATCACTGCTTCCATGCCTCGAATTTACAGAATGCGTGAGTTCCTGCAGACTCCCTAAATCCCTAAAGTCTTTACATACCAAAAATTTCCAGCCCCATGTGTTGGTTTTAGTGCATTCCCTAACATTCCTGACTCCCAGCCCGGAGCATGTGTTGGATTTAGGGAATTCCCTAAATTCCCTAAATTCCCTAATTTCCCTAAATTCCCTAAATTCCCTAATTCCCTACCCTATGTGTTGGATTTGGGGAATTCCCTAAATTCCCTAAATTCCCTAAATTCCCTAAATTCCTTAAATTCCTTAAATTCCCTAAATTCCCTAAATTCCCTAAATTCCCTAAATTCCCTAAATTCCCTACCCATGAACGGAAACCATTGAATCTTCTCCATGGGGGTCAGACTTAGGGAATTTAGGGAATTTAGGGAATTTACGGAATTTAAGGAATTTAGGGTATTTAGGGAATTTAGGGAATTTAGGGAATTTAGGGAAATAGGGAATTCCCCAAATCCAACACATGGGGTAGGGAATTAGGGAATTTAGGGAATTCAGGGTTGGTCTTGGGGGGGGGGGGGCTAGCATATATATATATATATATATATATATATATATAATGTGTATATATATATATATTATAGAGAGAGAGAGGAAGAGAGTGTGTGTGTGTGTGTGCATAGTGTGCACCGCCAAGCCGGTCGAGTATTATCCTGGCGCAGGCACTAAGCCTAGGCATTTCAGCATGCGCCAGGTCACATAGACAGCACTGCCAGGCACGTGGCCACGAGGAGCACCGATGTAGCCGTGTCTAGAAAGCGAACACCTGGCTGGTGCTCGACGAATGTCAAACAGGGCGGAAACACTGGGAGACTGCCGTTATGCATACGTGAACTTTCGGAGAACACTTTGGAGGCCTGTGGCCAGAAAGAGCAGCAGAGCTGACTTCTGGACCACCACTCGCCAGGCCAGGATGAATGCTACCTGAGAGTCAAGCAGCAGAGCTGACTTCTGTCGTTCTCTCTCACGAGACGCGGAGAGAAAAGACTCCTCCTCCCAAGCGGAACCTAGCAACGCCCAGACACCAGCTCGAATCCCCTCAAGCGCTTTGCATCGAACGATCACCACGCCGCAAGACCCCGACTCCACTTCACAGCCCTGCTCCCCTCTGTATCGCTGCCATCACGCTGTCACTGATGTGTACAAACACACGTTGGCAAAGATGCCTCAGAGACAGATACAAGCTTGAGCTTTGAAAATTCATTGCTGCAGCTCTCTGCCAATGTCCAGGCCATGGGCTCTGCGGGGCGTCACCCATGAACTTCTTGTCCGTAAGGCACAGCAGCAGAGAGACACAGTAGAAGGGCAGCAGAATTCCATTGAATCTCAGCCACGTAGTCAAGCACACTAGTCATCAGTTCTCTTCTAAACAACCGAGCAGCAACTGCGCCACCAGGATGATGGTGGGCCGAGGAAGATTCACCAAGATGGTGAAAGCAGCCACGGAAACATTGCTGAAGGCCTCAGCATGCGGTCCCGTTCGAAGACTCTGGACGGACAAGGTCGTCACTTCTTTCAAACAGAGACAAGCAGAGCCAGTAAGTTGCCACGGCAAGCCTGCAACGGTCCATGGTTGACCAAATGCCGAGTTGCAATCCACCAATAGCTCCTCTGGGATAAGCGAGGTTCCACCAACTTGCCCTCGGCGTCCTTGCATCAACAAGCCCCACGTTTCTCCCTTTCTCATGTTGCATTCGAAGTAACTCGCTCGCACCACGCTCACATGCTCACATGCTCTCGCTCCCGAAGCGGCTGCAGGAGGAGCCCCTCGAAGGCCAGCGCAGCTCCGATGACGACCTGAGCCGCCCCGCCCGCACTCGCCCCCACCCCCCAATGGCTTTCGGGACAAAGCCGCGCCCGTCGAAGCACAAACCGTGACGGGGTGCCGTCAGCATCGAACTTAGAGCAGCGGACACAAAACCAAGGGCAAATAGCGTCGTGCCTGCACACACAGGGTGCAACTTCCCTCGGAAAATGGAGCCCTGACAAGCAAAGGCTGCTCATATCCTGACAACCTGATCCTAACACAGTCGGTCCTGCCGCTCCAAAATATCCGTTGATGGATTTAGCCAGATCGACAATGTTGAACTCCATGTTCAACCGACCTTTGGCAGAAGCAGCTTCTGGTGCGCAGGGGATTCGGCTGCCCGTTATTCCTGCGCGTTCGAGTGTTAGCGACTCCAAATTTCGGTGATGTCATGATGTCAAGGTGAGTTTCGTCAGTTGTCGTTTAACCACGCATCTACGATGTGTGGACGAGGCGTAGCTTGCCACTTCGCTTGGAACAGCCATCGGCGCAAACAACAACAGAGATTAGAAAACTGAATACAGACAATCATTGTCCACACCACTTGCTGGGGAGAACAGAAATACAAGGAAGTGGACCTCCCTCATGTCTCTCATATTCACAAGTGATGTTCTGCAAGATGTTGACAGAAGAGACATGAAATCCAGCCCTTGTTGCATCAAGAATACTGACGTCTCTGGTGCGTCCGGACGCTGACTGACAGTATGGCTGCTGGTGATTTCTGATACGATGTGCTGCCTGTTTGTGCGGGTCCTTGTTTGCTGCGGGGTGCCTCAGCCGATGTGATGTCTGCTCAGTGGCTGTTCAATCCGTTCTTCGTGCGGCTGATTTTGCTGACATAGCTAAAACGACGAACGCAAGTTACACCTGTAACAAGCAGGGACTGCTACCTGAACAAGAGTAGGCGTAGCGTACTGGCAGTTCCCTCGAGAGACCTCATGCGATAACGGCAATGTCGCTAGGCAGGATACACACGAGGGCATCTTTCTGCAATCTCAGCGCCAGTAGCTCGACCCTCCGCTTTGAACACGCTTGCAGCAACGATCAGGATCCTTAGGAAGAGCTACTGGCGTTCGCTGCGCTGCTCAACTGCAGCCTGCGATGCGACAAATTCAGATGCTTGGCACCGTTGCAAATGCAGATATGGTGCAAGACGGAAACGACCAGAGCTGATAGACACGAGAATGCCTGCGCTGCCAGGTGGATCTTGGAACTTTCGCGACTTCTAGAAATCGCCAGTCAAGAACAACTGCCGTCAGAGGCGCAATGCCCCGCCGGCACTCCACCAGCGTCTTCTGCCGTGCCATGGCACCACTAAGGAAGACCTAAGCCCGAAACACTGAACATCACTAAACCCGAACGCCCAAACTCTAAACTGTACATCCTAAACTCGCAAACCCCTTTGCCGAGTAGCGTTCATGCCTATCGCAGTGGTGCCCACCAAACCTTTGTATTTTGCGAGTCTGGCGGCATGCTTGGATAAACTTGAACCCCTGCCGTCGAGGTGCTCAGTGCTGTGTCACACGGTGCCGCAGCTTGCGGTAGGGGTGATCGGTGCGGCAGCGATGGAAGAGAACCGAGTAAAAGGCCGCGCCTTCGGCAGATCGGCAGACAAGAAGCCAAGCCACTGCGTGCAAAGGCGAGAAGCTATCCCGGAAAAGCTAGTGTTAGAGTAACTTATGCTGCTTATGCTCAGGCACCACGAGCAGCCCACAGTGACTGCTACCACCAGGAACAGCGCCACCATGCCCTTGCGGTGTGAGAACAATGATTGTCAGGGACCCTCTCAGTCAGCAGACTCTGGAATGTCGTGTCATACTGCATCACGATCTGACTCACGCAAAGCTCATGCTTAGGCGCCGGCCATCATGGTGATGCCCAGCCCGACTCCGACTGCATCTGCTTTGTCAAGGTACAAGATGCCTAGCACCTAGGCGGTCATCAGCTGTGGTATCTAGGACAACCAGGACATCCGATTCCAACTCGGTGCAAGTAAAGCCCCACAACATTGGGCGGAAGAGGCGCAGCAAAAGCATATGCAAAGCAGCCCCCGATTCGCAGCAGTTCGGAAGGCATCTGCTTCACTCCTGCAAGAATGCCAGGGGTCGAGTTGCTGCCTTTGAAAACAATGAACCACGACTCTAGGAGAACATCTTGCTCGACTCGTGTCGCTACGCAAGACCTGGGAAGGAGAAGAGGGCATCGATGCCACCCGCGAAATTGTTGCACTCGTACAACAAGTTGCCAAAGTACCTGAGTTTCAAAGTGCTGTCCGACTATCCGCCTCCGAAGACTGCACACCGGCAGCTGTTTCGCCGAAGTGCACGGCCAGTGCCAACGCCCCACAAAACCTGGGCACTGGACCTGAAGTTGCCATCACTGTGACATAGCATCACCAGACCAGTGAGCTGTGCAGACGGGCCGCCACTAAGGCCGAGCTTCGGGAGCACCTGCCCGTACTTCTCCTGAGCTCAGGCTTCCCGTGGGCTTCTTTTCTTGTGCAAATCTGCACATCACCGACTGAGGCGACGAGTGAAGATCTTGCCTGAAGGCATTGCCCCAGCGTTTTGCCCGAGACGATCGTAAGACGCGCAGAGCCCTCCTTCAGGAATCGTGGGCTGCGGGCCGTGCCGCTCTACAATGCGAGAAGCTTCGGGGGTCATGCGCTCTCCGCTGATCTACATCCAAGGTGCTCTGCAATTGGGCCGCTTCTGTTTACTGACAATGAAACAGCTAAGTGCGAGTGCCCGTGACCCACAAGAGGTCCTAGTGTTTCCTAATGTGTGTCCAGACATGTGGGATTACAGATCACTGGCTCAAATCGCCGTCCTGGAGTGTGAACGCGAGGAACGAAGCAAAAAGCAGGGCCCAGACGAAGTGCAGCCTCGTTCCCCGGAGTCATAAACAGGCCAACGGCTGCATGACGACTTCGTGTGAAAAGGCTTCTTCTGCAGGCATAAGTCGACTGCTTTCAAAACACGGACATGTCGGCATGAGGAATGTGAGTAACCCCCGCGCTCATGTCTAAGCACCCGTTTGCAATCTTTCGCCGTCCCCCACCATAATGTCTCAAACCATGGTGGGCCAGGGAGGGGAAAAAATTATGCATGCACGACTCCTGTGGCCTGAGCCAATAGTCGTCGATGCATGTCATGCCTGTCTATGTTTGCTGCACCAAGCCTGCACTTCGCATCGCTGTCGGATGGGCGAAGGAAGCTACAACAATTGACTCTGCTGTCGAAATTCCGGAGTTCGGTGTTGTCGATGTCGTCGGTGCTTTCTTACGCGCTTTCTTTGCACTTGTAAGAGCAGTTTCGCTTCTATCTGCCACCCAGTTGCTGATACTCAGCGCCGGCCCGCGCACAAGTCACCACCTCAACACCACATGCCGAAGATGTGAAAGGCCACAAAATGCAGCCTTGGACTGAAGTTCAGCAGGGCCGCCGTACCCGGGCCCACGGTGCAAGCAGCCAGCATGGCCCAGTAAAGCAGCGACCTGTCACTGGTGTAGCAAGACACCCCACGCGTCCCTGCAGGCTTGTGATTGAAGTGATTTCAGAAAGCTCCTGATGGCCCCAACACGTTTGAGGTGAAGTCAAGTCCTGACTATCCGGTCTGGCGCTTCCAGCCAAGTGGCACAACCTCTCGACAAATTGCCATGGCGTCAAGCTCGGGCTGTATGGTGTAACGGTAACGGTACAACTCAAAGCTCAGGTCTTTTTGTAGCTCTTGAGTCTTGAGGCATGACCACTGAACTCACAGCAGTCTTGCGATGCATCTTGAGAAATTCTTCGCAACTGAGCCGGAGCTGCGGTAAACGCGATGCTTCCCCAGTAGCAGGATGGCTTCCCGGTGCACGTGTGAGGAGATCTTGGTTCTGGCTGCTGCCTTCTGCCGACTGCACACTGTCAAATCGATTCATGAGAAAATTTTGCTGAGCAGACCCGCCTCCAGTGGGAAAGGTCCTTCAAGGCAAGAACAAAACGAATCATCTCCATGAGACTAAGCTTCCAAACTTAAAAGCCAACAAAAACCTGTCGTCCAGCCGCAGCTTATAGGACTTAATTTGCCTAAGTTTTGCGGATATTGATGGTGACGTGCACACGGTGCAAAGCCTCACCAACTACCTGGATCTGTTCGACATCCCTTTCCACAAGAACTCCCTGTTGCAAAACTGGCCCCCGGACAGGAAACGTCCGAGCAGGCGGCCTTCGACGCGCGGCATCGTCACTGTCCCGCGGCGTTGTGATGAGCTCCCCGGTCGCAGAGGGCTGCGCGGCGATTTACGGAGTCTTGAATATTTGCTTTGGTGATTCTTTGCTAAGGTGTCAGTCCGTTGCCTCCGGACCAAAGCGGTCAGACCAGGCAACACTGGCTCCGCTTGGCCTGTTGCAGTGAACTCTGGCGAAGTCTCCTGACTCACGACCGCTCGGCCTGCCCGAGCATTCGGAGGGAGGTGACCTTTGAGCCGGCGAGGCCTGGGATCGAAAGGCGGCACAAAGCTGCACCCGCGGTCTTGCGGTCCTCTTGCGGTCTTACGGTTGTGGTGTTCGGTCTCCTGCTGCCCCATGCCGAGTATGGTTTCACTAGCGACGAGCATGCAGTCGACCTTGACCCTTCCCAAGGAAGCAAAGGTGTGGGTGCAAACCTATAGGCACCTCCGGCGAAAGAAGAAACGCAAAACTCGGGAGAATGGATGTACGCATTTATCTTTGTCTGTTCTGGGTGTGTGCGAACGCATGCAATATGATGGAATCGAAAGGAATGCTCATCTGATGCTATGCTATGCTATGCTATGCTATGATGTGCTGAGCGGTGCGGTCTATGAAATGCTATGCTGTGCTGAGCGGTGCGGTCTATGATATGCTATGCCATACTATGCTCTAACTAGCAAGAGCATAGAATGGCGTGGCATGTGGCATGTGTGCATGTGGGAAGGGATGTGGGATGTGCTATAACCAGCTTAGTATGTTACGTACATACATACGTAAGTCGCGCAAGTATGTACGCATGCCGGCATATGCGTGCATGCATGGAGGTAGGTAAGTGGTACCCAGCCACTGCAAATTGCCCAAAAAGGAGCCAGGCCACAGCCTTGTTGCGGCCCGCGCCCCATGTGGACAAGGGAGGTATGATCACAGAATCACAGTGAGGTAGGGAGGTAGAGAGGTAGCCTTCCTACTAACTGGAACTTGTACAGGCTAACACATGCGCCGAGTAATTAGTGTGGTCTAGGACCGCAGGCATTTCGAGCTGTTTGAAAGGCACTGCCCTGAAATCGAAGACTCCGCAAGCTGGTGGGAATTAGGAGGCTTTCGTCTGAGCTTTGAATGTGAACACCGCATAGTGTCGCTACGCTGTTCGGGGAATTTGGTGTGTACGGAGACAAACAGATAGACGGTGTTCCCAAGCAGACCTCGACTTCCACCCTCTCAGACTCTCGAGAGCACCCGTGACCACTCCAAATCAGCTCGGCAAGGCACATCCATCCGAGGGCTCGAGACCCGCGAACTCGCCGATGGGGAGGCGTGAGAAGCGCGTGAGCTGGAAGAGGGTGTTGAAGGCCTTAGCGGGCAGCTTGGCGGCAGCCTTAACGTGACGAGAGCTGCATGGAGCTGCAAGTATTGCTTGCTGCTTGCTCTCGGGTCTGCGCAGCGGCCGCTCGGGGAGCACCCGCCGCCGTCTCGGCACCACACAAAGGCCTGGAGAAAAGAGAAGAGGGTTCAAAAACGTGTAGGACCTCCTGCCTCCTTTTCCCAGAAGATGCGCGGCGCGAAATGCCGCGACGTGCCTTGTCTCGGCTCCGGCTCCGGCGGCTCCGGCGGCTTTTCGTTTGGGGACGGCCTGAGAGGTCGTCCCGTCGAGTCGGAGCGCAGAAGCCGAGGCCCAGTTCTTTAGCCCACGGCTCCCAGTCCGACACGTCAGACTGCACGTCTGCCTGGACAGGAGGCTCTGTCATACTCCCAGCAAGACAGCTCGCTGTCAAGCTGTCTGGCAGGGCTCAAGCTCAAGCGCCTCCGGACTGCAGCTGAGCTTCTTCAGCCTTGCAGGCTGAAAGAGGCAAGGTGGGGCCTTGTCTGTGGAGCCTTTCGCCAGTTGAAGTAGTGCTTCCGGGCACGAGAGGAGAGCGGATAGTCAAAAGATACTGCAGGTAGGAGGGGTGCCATGTTACGCGAAGCCGCGAAAGCAACTAAGGCAGCCCCACCTGTGTACCGCTCGGGCAGAAGCTGTTTTGGGCGACATACCCTGACATGGCTCATTCGGAAGCAGGGTCCGCCAAAAGCAAAAAAGCTGCCATGGTTAAAGGTTTGGAATTTCCTGCTAATCCTGCTGACACTGCCACGGCCTTCAGCGCTCTGCATGGCGAGGCGACATGTCGCACCCCCTGGATCAACAGAGACTGGGGCACGTGATACTCCGAACTCGGTATCGGCTCCTCACCCCTCACAGAACACGCCAAATCCTTTGAGGGTCCAACGCGGGAGGGCGATGTTGGAGGAGTCATTAACACGGACTCGGCAGGAAGTGCACGCGAAACACACGTTGATCCCGGCACTTGCAGGGGATGTGAGATGTCTGCCACGCAGTCTCGGACGAAACAACGAACGCAGGACAAAGCCAGGATGTACAACACGTTCCTGGATTTCCTTGGCATCCCACATCCGCTTTGGTCTCCCGCTCGGGCAAAGGCAGCGTGCGCCGCACCATGCCTGACGCGCTCGCATCTTGGAGGCTTAGAGGTCGGCAGACGGCGCCAAGTGGTCCCCGGGGCCCGCGCTCGCTGGCAGCCCAGACCTCGGCTCGCACCCGTCGGAAGAACCTCTTTGCGAGTTATTAAATATGCTATGCCAAGGCGCTCTAGAGCTGCCTTCTCCACCACTCGCGCAGCGGCCTCGACCAGCAGGGCTCAGGGACGCTTCGCAATCCGTAGCTATCGGACTTGTACTCCTTCGAAATTGAGTCTCGACATGAAACAGAAAGGCCAAACTTCTCCTGTCCCGTCAGTGCCGCGTGCCTCCTGTCCACCCTCACGAGAAGCCTCAATCTCCTCACAATGCGTATGCAAGCGCGGCTTCTCGTAGCAGCGCTAGGAGTCTGCAATGGGATGCTACACCGCCCCTAGCCGGACCTCGCGCAGCCGCATCCTCGTGATCTCCACCCGGGCTCTCTCCAGCGCCTGCAGACGCCGAGTCGGAGCTGGAGACGGTCACAACGCAAGCTGCGAACATCGAACATCCATGGTCGGAGTTGGAATCGACTCCCTCGTCAAAGCTTAATTTGCGTCTGATGATACTGGTCTTGCACGTAAAGGGTCGAGGACAGTTGGTGGGACAGCTGTCCGTCAGGAGGCCGGAGAAGACAATTAGTCTCAAACAAGACGGGTACAACCGCATGCGATGCAGGCCTCAATAAAGCCGTGGAAGAACAGGAAGATGTCCTCTCGTCTCGGTTTTGGGACAAACATGACTGCGTGACCACTCTGCAACATGGACACGTGGCACACTTTCGAGTCTTTGGGAGCACCCAAAGGTCCTGTGATTCATCAGAGTCCTTCGAAGGTGGTGGGAACACGGCATCCTGGCATGGGCACGGCGTGAGCCACAGAGGAGGGCCATTCGAGTACCAAGCGCGGGGCTGGATCGCCGAGAAAGACTGCGAGCTCCTTGCGGCGACCCGACAGTAATACCAATGTTGACTGGTTTTGCCACCAAGGCTAAGCCCCATACCCAGTAGCTTCGGAAGACTTCCAAACACAGCTCCGCTAAGCGAGAGGCCTGCAAGAACAGAGAACAAGTCCCACAGAGAAGGGCCGGCCCTTCGACTGTTTCAGCACACACGCTGAAGCACATTGCACACCTTGTCCCGACGGCTGTCCAGGAACTCTTTCAAGTGCTCCTGGAGAAGATGTCATCTCGAAACCCTGTGACACGTTCGAGAAGGAACAGTAGTATGCAACACGGCTTGGGGAGGAGAGAAGTGATGAGAGACCTCCAGTCTTTAGTACAGATAGACATGGCCGGCAGACATCCCTCTGTTCTAGATACAATGAAGCAGCATGTCCTGGAAGACGTCGTCCTGCAGACGCGAATGGCGGAGCTTGATGGCCGACGAGACAGCATCAAGTTGAATTAACCAGGCCGGAGGGGGTCGGTCCTCAGAGAGAGCGCTGGGCACCTGCCAGACGGACTCCGATGCAGCGTTGTTGGCAGTTCGCAGTAGCCCGCATGCTCATGACGCTGAAACGGTGAAGACGTGGCTACTTGCCACTAAACTCTAAAGAAGCTGACAAGATGACACATTGTATTTTATCAGAATCTCCCGTGCCCCGTGAAGGCCCTCCACAGCACCTGCGCACCGAGCTCGCGAAGCGCAGCCCGCTGTGCGATAAGTTCCCGGCACCGCTCCTGAACTCCAGCGCTCTTGCCTCAGATGCGTGGATGTTCTGGGAGGACAGAGGTTTCTTAAATTGCTTTGAGCCAAACAGTTGCAAAAAAATGCCCCAACCCCCTCCCAACCACGATCCCTCCGACGTTCGTGCCTATTGCTGCCAATTGCCCTGAATATGTTGGGGTTCTTTCGCTGGGCCTTTCCTGTTTTGAGCACTCGCTGAGCTCGTCTAAGATCCACACCAAGCAGTCCTTGTGCTCTCAATGCATCTGTAGCCTGCAGGCCCTCGCACAAGGAATTGACCTGCAGTCGGAGTTCCACTTTCGGCGAAATTTTCCGGTCAGCACGATAACGGCTACTCCAATGCACAAGCCGCGGCGGCCTGGCCTGTCTCAAGGGCATCTGCGCCAGTGCGAGGTGGAGAAGGGAGAGCTGTGGTCTCAATGGCGACCTGCACAAGTCTAAGCGATCGCCGCAGTTATCACTTTTTGAAAGCTTCATGTCTCGGCGATGGCCTTGTCTGCAACGTAGAATCGAGGCTTTGCAGGCGAAAGCCATGAGGAGCGCGGACTCCTCCAGCGGCCTGTAGCGGTAGCAGCGGTAGCAGCGGTAGAGCAGGGCAAATCCAGCCAGCACGTTAACTTTCACGCAGAGCCCCGCACCTCGTTTAGTTGATTGCCAATCTTCATGACCTGCCGCATGCTCAGCTACAAGCCACGCCCCCCCACAGCTAGGAAAGCACACCTGGCATCAACTGAAAATGCGCCAACGGCCTGACGGAAGAAGGACTGGAGGGCCTCCTTCCTTGTGCTAAGGGCCTCCCAGGCAACGTTCTCGTGCACCGAGAATCAGCAACCGGCAAAACGGCCTCGAGTCCAGATTGCAGGACCTGGCGGTTCCAGAAGCTTCCGGAGGTGAGATATCATCGCTTGCCGAGTCACGTGGCCTCCAGATGTTTCTGACACTTCGCAGCGTCGCGATCCCAAGATGACTCGATCTGCAGACCTCACTCCAGTCTGCAGAAAGCGATCGAAGATCGACTTCACATTTGAGTCGTTAAGCCCATAGCATCTCAATCGCTGGCTTACGCCTGCAATGCCGCAGACCTGCCAGGGAGGGAGCAGCATGGTCAGGATTTCCAAATCTGTCCCAACTTTTGTTGCATAAAAGTGACCCTCATTGCGTACTCCTTGAAGTAAGATGTGTTTCTTGCCAGGTTGCAAAGCTGAAGTGGTTCCAAGGTTTAGTTCTCCAACGCATCATGGTTGGCATAGTTTGCTCAGTCTTTATTTTGACAGCTGCTAAACCACTCTGATTGGTGCCAGTGCCCGCCTGGTGCATGAGGCGATGCTCTTGCTCAGCCTCGCAGCGCGACAGGGCATCCACGCCCTCAGCCTCGCAACGAAGTTGCCAGGAATGCATGGGCTCTCGCAACGGCAAACTCCCGCCTCAACGAAGGATGCCACAGGATTGCCGGCCTCGGCAGACGGACACTGACACTTGTTTGAAGGATACTAGTACGAGCGCTCGAGATGCAGTTGATCTATAGAATCCGGTTTTGCTGTGTTTGCCTCGCGGCTACAGCTACAGGGTGAAGGTTGCATCTCTGCACGCACCTCGAAGTTGCTCTCGACGGCATCACGCAAGCTTTGCAAACCATCCTCGTCCTGGCAGAACTGGCGGCTTGTGACTAGTGGCAGGGCTGACAGCCTGGCTCGAGAAAATCTCTAAAAGACTAGCGAGTCCCTGCAGAAGTCCTGGCTCACAGTGCACTGGAGGATGTGTTTGCAAATGTCCTCCGTTAGATGCATGATCTCCAGTTCTGGCTGTCCGCAAACTCTGTATGTGTATGCGCTTCACTCTTCGCCTCCGGCGTTATTGACTGCCCGTGGCTCCGAGTTTGGATGCGCTGCCGAGCGAGGAACAGCCCAGCACTCCTTTTCCAGGCACAACGGATTGGAGTGGATGGAGGCGAGGCTCCGAGAATCGGCATCCTTGTCGTCTTGTCGTCGAGAATCTGAAGCTTCTGCTTGGGAAGGCCTGGAAGCTCAACACTCCATGATCATGGCTGGGTGCTCCGGTCACCGCGAGGTGCTCGTGCAGAACACTCCCGGCTGACCCCTCATGACACTTCATTCCGGCTGCCTGGCACAGCTGGCGTCCTGCCAGGCCCTGAACATGCCCGAGCTTGAGCGAGCTTGAGTCTCCGGAATGCTCAATCAAATGCGATCTGCGTTCCCCAGCACAGAAGCCTAAAGCTTCATTGCATCCGAGCCTGTGGATGACGTGCTGGAGGTGGTCTGCCCTTCTGTGGAGACGGATCGCACACCTCAGCCGTCCAAACCGAGAACACGTCTGTGCTGCTCCAGTTGCTATCGAGATGGATCGGAAACCATAGGCGGTAAACGGCAGATCAATCATTCAGCCGTACCAGTGAATTAATTAGAAAACTTCATTGCTGTAAACTGAGAGTCGGGCTTGAGCTGCTGCTGGGGGCCGAGCGGAGGGGCCGCTGGCTGGGGTGGGGGCCTGACAGCGCAAGAGCACCGAAAAAGCGTGCGAGAAGCATGCGTATGAAAGCCACCTGCTGACGGTGCCCTAGGGGGCAAATCAGTGTCTGGAACAGCAATGAATTCATTGGCACTGTTGCGTCTGCACTGTCATCGCGGCTTGCGTAGCCCGGTGCAGAAACTATGTCCGGGATTCGCTGAGAGTCTGACGGGCCCGGAACCAGTACTGCACCTGGGCATCGTCCATGCACTCCACGTCGGTGCCTTGACAGGACTGGGCCAGCACTCTGCGACAACCGAGCGTAGCATGCTTGCATCCTTGTGCGCATTAAAAGAAGGCAACACATTCAGCTGTTCGTTAGTAGAGCGAAACAGAACGAAGCAAAACATCGGACAAAATATGATACACCGCAACATAGCATGAACATATCTACCGCATAGTAATGCGTAGTACATAGCTATTCAGTACAACATTTCGACATAGATGACGCTGTCATGTGCATGTTAGCACGTTGCGATACAATGACTTAGAGTAGCGAAATAGTCCAAAGGTCTGACGAAATTATCTTGTTACACGTAACAAATGGCAAACTGATGTGCCCCGGACAAAAAAGTCAAATGCTAACGATGCTATCACAAGTCACAGTGCAGCCACAAGCCCTAGGTTATGCACACGCACTTTTTCCTTGAATCCGACGAGGTCCGAGAAGTGGCAGATCAGATCAAAATTCCGAGGGACCCGGGGCAGGCATAGCTCAGACAGGTCCGAAGACCGGTCGGAAATACGCCACCCCTCCTCAGATTGATCAAACAAGGGGTTTCACAACCCCCAATCCGAATGACCCGGGATCCCGTGGGTGCCCGTGAGTGAGAAGGTCCCGCAGAGCCGTACAGGAACCAAGCACAGGTAATCGGCACCTGAGGCAACCGTACCTGGCATTCGTATCCTGTGTGCAAGCAGGGCCCAGAAAGGAGCCCTGAGCTATTGCTCCGATTTGAAAGCAAGGAGCTTGTCCAAGATCATCCAACTTGGAGACCATGAAAGGGAAACCTCCCTCCTATTTCCGGGGGAGAATCCATCGAAATCAAAGTGAGTGAGCTGATCTGCCCACGTGTTAGAACTCCTCTTGACATGGGTGACCTGAGCAAAGACACCCTTGTGGAACTCCTGTGCGGAGAGCTCCATTAAAAGCGCCGAGCAAGGCCACTTCTTCGAAGATCTCTTGCTGGCAGAAAAGGCATTGCCCTCATTGTCTGTAGTAAGAGGGAGATGAGCATCAACCATGCAGGGCCCCACGGACTCTGCAGCCAACAGGAAAAGGATGAGTGTGCCCAGGAGTTCCAGGGCACCAATTCGGCGCTTCGGAGAAGTGTGCGCCAGGAGGGGCTGCACCCATGGAGTGGTAAGGACGTCCATGGAGAACCACAGGACCTCCGCCTTGGTGGGGTTAAGCAAGGGCGAGAACCAGCCACCAATAGCCACCCGGCCATCGTCCTCACCGGCATCACTGCTCCCATAGCATGGAGTGTTGTGCTGGAAACGAAGAGGAACGCAGGGGCCAGAGTCCAAGATGGAGATGAGCAGAGTTGCCAGAAAACGTACAAGGTCTCCCGGTCTCCATTTCCGTTCAAGTTTCTGCTCCCACGCATAGAGTGGCTGGAGGTGGGAACTCACCTGAGGGTAAGCTTTCGCCACCCACTGCAACTTGCCCAGTAGGGAGGTGACTTCCTTTCTGGTGTGGAGTTCTCCTGCTTCCAACTTCAACAAGGCAGGGCGGAGGATGGCCAACTTTTCCTCCGGGAGCCACACCGAGCCTTCGGAGATGTTGACCATGTACCCCAGCCAACGATTGACCTTCCCAAGGGCATTCTTGTGCCAAGAGATAGGGCAGCCCAGCAGAGTAAGGAAGAGCATGAGGGTGGCCGCCCCAATTTCTCCAAGGCTCTCTTTCATCACAGCCATGAAATCATCAACAAAAACCAGGAGCCAGAGGAAAACCTCCGAAATCTGGTAAGAGAGGCGGGTGAGGATGGCCGCCAAACGCCCCCAGTAGAGCTGCGCCGAAGCCACCCCATAGGTGCCGACCTTGTTGACCCAGAACTTCTTCTTGATCTTGGCCACCATGTACCGCCAGTGCTTCTTGAGAACCTTGATCCTCCGGTGGGCCTTGCTCACATCCGACTTGAAGAGGGTCAGGTCCTTCGACGCCAAGTGGAGCCACGCGAAAAGCAAGTCGTAGAGAGTCGGGGCCGTGGTCTTCTTGTCAGTATTCGCCCGGATGTTGTCGTTGACGCCGATGATCGAGGCATCGAAGATGGTCCTGATCTTGTCCAGTTCCTGGATGCCCGCCATGGCCCCGACACACAGCTCTGCGACCGAGCAGCCACAGAGGTCCGCTGCCTCCTGTTCCGACAGGGGACCCGCCACCATGTCGAGGAGCTTTTCCTCCAGGAAAGTTTTCTGTATGGTGTCCTCGAAGACTTCAGCGCTGGGGTAGTTGTCGGCCGTTGTGGGCGCCGGGGGCTCCAAGTCTTTTGGTGCATTCCCCAGCTCCTGCTTGGACGGCCATATGTTAGGGTCCGGCAACGTCGGACCATCCACCCCAAGGGGGACTCCTTCACGTAGGTGTTGGAGGAAATCCCGGTCCGGGTCCTCCGCCAGCTCCACCAAAGCTTGGAGAATGTCCAAGGCAAACGGTTGTCCAGGAGAGACCTCAGCTGAAACAGGTCGGTGGAGACGGGAAGAGAGGCGTGATGCCAGTTGTTGGCGGAGGTCTGCGACCCACTGGTCTGGCCAGGGGCAGCCCCGCGCCTGGGTCCTGAGCGATTCCCGAAAGGACGTCATAGGAGAGACCACTGGGGAATCGGCACCTGTGGCAACCGTCTTCGAGGTGAGTGTCTCCTCTATCCCCTGGCCAAGCCAGGCCAACTTGCATTTGCATCTGTCTTCCGGCTTGAGTCTCCCAGGGGATGGCTTACCGCCACCATCCCTGAGGGGGCGAGAACGGTGTCCCAGCCGGACAATTAAGGTACTAGCTGTCACCGGAGCCAGTGCCGAAGCAACGGAACGGTCTCCATCCGTGTCCCCGGATGTGGAGAAGAAGGCTAGCAAGGAAGTGGCCAATTCCAAATTGAATTGCCAACCCCACCGGGCCAAGTCAGAACTGGACCACCATACAGGGTGGTCAGGATGCCTGCACCTGAGGCCATCCCAGTCAAGGGCCAGATTGCTAAGAACCGCCGTGGGTTTCCTGGCCCCGTGCCCCAGCATGCACTGGTCAAAGCAGTGTATCTTCATCCGTGTAAGGCCCGCGAAGTCTTTACACTGGGCCGTGGCCCACCATGAAGAACAATTCTGCTGAGCTTCCGAGGTACTTGGTTGGCGGGATCCTCCGGGTGTTCCAGGAGGAAGGCCGGGGGCCGAGGGCCAGACGCCAACGAGAGGTGGGCATCCTGAGCAAAAGCAGAGAGTCATTATCCGTGTCCCTGAGCACCGACTCCGGAAGGTCATCGAGGCCCCAAGCTGATTGGCCTTTCCTGCCCCTAACTGGACCAGGACAGCCAACTCTAGGAAAGTGTCGCAGGATTGACCAAGTCCTGCAATTGGGCCCTCATGAGGTCGCCAGAGAGGGCCAGGGCACAAAGGTCAGAAAAGGTCTCCTCAGAAAGTACATCCTGGGAGATCCCCTCTACAGATATCCAGTTCGCGGACTGAGGCCCCCAAGAGAGGAGCGACTTGTGCAATCGCCGCCTTAGTGCTCCGGGCATCATCCTTCCCCGCATAGAGAATGAGCACTGTAGGCTGGGACGGATTGCCTGCAGAAGGCCAAGCAGCCAATCCAGGAAGGAGTCTATCCAAGAGTCTCTGTGGGAGGCCTCTGAAGCCCGGAAGAGTAGGAAGAGCCTGGGACCAGCGGTCTCGATTCCAGCGGTCACCCTCACCAGCCGCTAATTTAGGAGGGCTCTTCTCCAGAGGCGGCTGCCGGGCCGCAGCCCCAGGGTCGATGGCCTCCGTGGTATCCCCCGCTGGAGCAGTCCGAGGCATACTCTGGGAATTCCGAGTACGACCCGAGCACGTAGGGAATCGGCACCTGAGGCAACCGTCTGCACAGACGTCAGGCTGGAGCGAGGAGGTCCCGAGCTTGCCACCACGCTATCAGCTGGGAGGAAAGAGATGGCCCCTCGCCCCTCTGCAACCCCCGGAGGGGAGGGGCCGGTTTCTCACGAGTGGTCTGCCGCCCTGTGGCACAGATCTTACCGTCCGGGAGAATCACAGGGCAGTTGTGGGAGAGACCGCAGTCCCCCGGGCACCTGTTGAAGGCGTGGTACTTCTTGCAGAACTCCTTGCCGTCCGATCCTTTAGGCGCCCACTCATGGTGCGGTGCCTTATAGTGCGAGCGAAAGTAGCCGCCGGAGGAGGTGGAGGTTCCACCGTCTCCTCCGAGCGAGTGGACCAACGCCAGTCTTCCTTCTTGGACTTGCCTTTTCCTTTTCCAGGCTTCTTGCCTTTGCCCTTCCAGTAATCCCACTGCTGGAAGACTTTTCCCTTGTCCTTGTCCTTGCCCTTGCCCCTGCCTTTTCTGGGGCCCTTGGGCTGGCCAGTGTGGTGGCGACGGAGGCAGAACTCATCGATCTCCATAAACCAGAATCGCGAGTTATTCTGGATCTCTTTGAGGGCAGCTGAGATGGTCAAGGTTTCGTCTTTGGCCATGTTCAAGGCCACCTGGCGCCAGACCTTTCTTTCAGCCGTCATTAACACCCCCAGTGAGGGGGCGGGCTCACGGCCCATAATGGTATCTCCGAAGAGGAAGTTGTAGAAGTCGTCCAAGTCTGCCTTGGTGAGGTGAATGCACGAGGGGCCCGTGCATGTTGCCACAACCATGAGGAGGGACGTCCGCCAGATCATGAGGACCCGTTTCCACTGTTTCTCCGACTGGACACGGTTGGATTCCTCATGGATCCACTCATCATCTTCTTTGCTTTGGCGCTTCTGAAACTTCACTTCCCCATCCTTGGGGTGGTTCGCTACGACCTTGTTGAGATCGAGCTGAGAGTGTGAAAGGAACTCTCCCCTGTACAACACCCTCTTCAAGACACCAAGCATGTGGTCCGAGCCTTCGTATTCCCTCTCCGGTTCCGTGCCGAACTTAGCGAGGTAAGCTGCCCTCATTTCTTGGCGGTCACCTCTGCCAATCATCGCTTTGTAGTCCTCGACCGAGTGGATATCCACCTCGGCCATCTTCCTTTTCTTTAAGAGCTTGAACTGTTCCACCGCGTTCTCCAGGCGGATAGCGGTGAGGACGCACGTGTGCTCATCATATCCGTTCTGGCCCGGTGAGAAGCCCAACTTGGGAGCCTCCTTCCGGAGTTCCTTTTCATCCCAGCGGCCTGCCCAGTCCTGGGCCGTGACGAAGCCCTGTTTTCCCATGACAAAAAGGACTAGCCAAGGGACCTGGTGCCTGGCCAGGACCAGACGAACCTGTTCATCAATCTTCGTGACCTCATCCTTGTAGGGGTCCGGGCACAGCTCCGGGGGCCGTGCCAGGGTCAGCTTGGCGTCGACTTCCGCATTCGGTCTATCCATAGTGCCCGACGGCAGGAGAACCCGGCTTGAGCGGAAAGACAAGGAGAGGGCGGGAGGGCAAGAAAAAGAACAACCCGGGAAACAGACCCCGCGTCACCGAGACCCGTCGTGAGTCTGACCCAAAATGGCAGCCGGCCCGAGCAGGATGCAGAAGGGAGGCTGCTGGCTTGGCCCTATGACATGCGAGTTGATCAGTGCAAGCACGGATTCCTCTACAAGTCACAGTGCAGCCACAAGCCCTAGGTTATGCACACGCACTTTTTCCTTGAATCCGACGAGGTCCGAGAAGTGGCAGATCAGATCAAAATTCCGAGGGACCCGGGGCAGGCATAGCTCAGACAGGTCCGAAGACCGGTCGGAAATACGCCAAGTCCGCAGGGCTAATGCCTGCCAACTCCGAAGGGCCCGAGGACTTAACACTCGGAAACGGGCGTTCACAAAACCCCCGTCACCCCGGATTCCCCAAATCCCCTTCCACCAGGGGATCGGCACCTGTGGCAACCGCCCCTGTGGTATGGGGGGGCTCCACAAGTCCTGGTGTCAATACCAGGTGGGAAAACAGGAGGGGCTCACAGCACAATCGAGAAAGGCACTGTAGAAGCCGATGAAGAGGCCGCCGGGCTACCCATTCTGGGAGTGGCTTCCCCATCGACAGACGAGGAGGAGTCCGATTCCAGAGAACTCGCCGAACCCGATCCATCCGAGGGATCCCCGCTGGAGGAGTCCTTGGTCACCGCTTCACCCAGGAAACAGTCTGGGGGCTGCTTGGCCGTGCCGCCTTCGCACAGAAGACATAGTCCGGTGTCCAGTCCAGCTCGTTGAAGGTGACCAAACTCTTGGAGTCCACAACCCAGGCACCTGTAGCCCCTGTCAAACCAGTGTACCCGGTACACCGGAGGAGATCCTGTCTTACGGGCGTTGGTGGCCATGAAGGCCGGGCCATCAGCCCGCTTGTCCTCTTGCTGAGTATTGGCCGAGGCAAGAACCGGGAGCTGTGCCTCGGGGGGAGCCAGAAGTGGCTCTTCCGCCAACTGGTAGTAAGGAGCATCCATATCCTCCGGAACAAAGCGGATCCCTTCATCCTTGCCAGGCTGGGGTTTAGACAGGACCTCTTTCCAGATGGAGAGAACCACCGAGCGATGTTCTCTCGTGTAAACGTCCGCCATGCTGTCCCCTTGCCAACGTCCCAAGTATCGACGCTGTTCACGAGGGACACCCATCTGGAACGCCAGGTTCGGCATGAAAACCCTGAAAGAAGAGAGGGTCATCATCTTCACCTCCTCTTCCGGGATCTTTGCTCCCTTCATGGAGAGAAGAGCCCGAAGCCACCGAAGGGCCCGAGAATTGTCACATGGGGCCTCGTAAAGTCAAGGCGGTCTCTGTCTGGGACAGGCAGGAGGTAGTCATCCTCAAGTCCTTTTGTAGCCAGGCTGTTCCGCCTCTTACTGAGAGCGATCATGGGTCCCCACCACTCCGTCTGAGAGAAGGAGACCAGAGGCGCGATGAGCGGCTGGGGACGATTATTGTCCCCTGCCTCCTTGACCTTAGTCTGCCAGGCGGTGAACTCGAGGGTGTCCTTAGTAACCTTCATGGAATCCGGCCTGGTGTGGGCTGTGTCGGAGAACCTGGCCGAGGCGCCAATGCAGAACCTGAAGAAAGAAGCCGCGTAGCCATCAGGCGAGCCTTCCGGGAGGGTCCCAGCCAGCTTCTCAAGCGCAATGACCACCTCCATGGGAGGCGGAGTGGCCCTGCGTTCCTTTTTGGCTTCCGAAGAGACCAACAAACCCCTGGTGTACTCATAGCGCCGGTTGATCGCCTGGTTGACCGTGGGGTCAAAGCCTCCGAAGTGCTGCGGGATCCAGTGAAGAGTCCTCCACAGCTGCCCCAACCTGTAGATTGTGAACTGCTGGTCCACCGCTTCGTAGAGGAGGGCCTTTGCCATATCTTCGGAGAATGGCAGGGGGGAACACCCGAGCGTGGAGCGGAGCTTCTTGAGGCTGTAGAAGACCGACTTCAAGGAGTTAACCCTGGCTTTGCCAACCAAAGGCCTCCAGACCTCGCACTTGTCCTCCCCCGGCTTGATGTCCTGCATGTTATCCAAGTGCCTGTGATAGGGAGCCAGGACGGAGATGATCTTGTCCGCCCATTTCTTCTTTGCCGCCCGATCAAGGGCAAGCTGTTTGACCGGACCTTCCCTAGGTGCCCAGTGCTCCCAAGATCTTTTCCCGCTTCGGCGCTCCATTGGGAGGGCCCGTCCAAAGGCCCTGTCGGCAAGGAGTTGACCCACCGGAGAGAGAGATGTCCATGAAGGGCAGCCCGACGCGGCCAGCTGAAGCCTAGTGACCGCCTCCGTGAAGTCCTCCTCCAGCTTTTGACTCCTATCTTCGGGGAGCGATTGGAGCCAGGTAGCCTTGACGCCGGCGACCACATCTGGATCCAGGAGGGCCTTTGCAGCAACGTCACACTCCACCGGGTTCGTGCGGTGCTGCACCGTACACAGTTGCACCGTTCGGTGTGTCCCGGGCCCCGGCCATCATTCTCCAAGTCCAGGGCGAAAACCTCCATGGTATCAGAGGGAGGAGGAGCACCCGGATCAGGTCGGCGGGGCACGTCTCGACGCTGGCGTCCCTGGCGGTGTGAGCGGCAGCCATCCCATTCGCGGTCACATCCCATGCACAGCGCCGTGAAAGCGCCCTGGCGCTCGCATCGGTCACACCAACTCGTGGCCATCTCCCCACACCAAGCGCATGGATCACACAGGAGGCAGGTGCCACCTTGCCGTATGCCGCCTTGTCGCCAACGTTGGACCGTATACCCGGCCCTGAGACCAGCGTTGTTCTGGCGAGTCTCGGGGGGGAGAGTGAGGAGAAAGGACCAACCTGGTCTGCCACCGGTCTTCCAGAGCCTTCCACCAGAAGGTCCCTGGCCCTCGGCTGGAATCGTTCCCAGATAGCTTCAGTGAGAATAACCAGCTCCCGGTGCCGCGTGTCCACGACCTGTCCCTCATCCATCGGTGAGGCCAAAAGGCCCACTGGCACCGAGAAGCGAGAAGCAAAATGGAGCCACCGAACAAAACGGCTGCGGGGCCCGGCCAGCAGGGTGAAGAGAGGACATTGTGCTGAAGTGACAGACATGCGCAAGCAGATCACAAGCAAGCACTCAGCACAGCGAGGATTCCAAACGCAGCGGCAAAGGGAAAGACCCACCAAAGAAAACCCAAAAGACACCCCCAAGAACCAGGCAGGTCCAGTCCCCCCTTTTTCAGCGCAACCAGAGGTCGGAGGCATCAAGAAAGCTCTGAGGCGCCTTCCCCATCTGAACCTTCGATGTGCGGGTTCAGGGAGAGGAATCGGCACCTGAGGCAACCGTACCCCCCCATCCCCCACGCATCGGGGCTACACTGGGGAGGTTCCCCTTCTAAAGCCCACGATGGGTAGGTTCAGGGAAGGGAATCGGCACCTGAGGCAACCGTACCCCCCCTCATCCCCTGAGCATCGAGGCTGTACTGGGGAGGTCATGCCGCCCAAATCGCTGGGATAAAAGGATGTGGCACCCCGTAAAACAGCCCGTAGGCAGGCGAGAGGGCGCCGAACATCGATTAGCCCCCGCAGCCAGGCTAGGGGGCCGAGGGCTTCATCTCCACATCCGCCTTAAGCTCTTCCTTGACCGCATCAGCCAAGACATCCCAAGATTGGAGAGCTTCCAAGGAGGGCTCCGAGAAGACCAGACGCCACAGCTGTGTGGAAGCGTCAGGGCCCAGACGGATGCGGGAGGGATTCTGCCCCGGCATCTTGTGTGGGGCCGCGTCAAGTAGTGGAGCCGTGCCCTCGAACTTCCGACAGAAGAGCATACGCCCCTGGCTGCGGTGGAGCCGTGACGATGGCCTGCAGGACCACATCGCCATCGAAAATCTCCAGGAGCCAGCCGTGCATCTCGTGGCCCTTGAGCCACTTGCCTTCCGCCGAATCCCGGCCCCATTCAGTCCTGCAAAGGGTGCAGGCATAACGGTTCTTGGAGCGCTTGCTAGACCCAACCCTGGTGTAGTCGAAGCCTGACAGGGCCGGGAGGACCATGCCACATTCCATGTGGATCCAATGCCTCCGGTTGGGCCTATCCACGAAGTCCGGGGCCTTAACCCACGCCCCTCCAGTGCAGCGGTAGTACTGGAAGGCCACCGCCCACTTGTGCTTGCCCGAGAAGAAGGCCTGGTCAAGCGGGAGGGAATCGATGGGCAGCGTGACTCTGTGGTCGTACTCCGCCCGCAGCCGAAGCCTTTCCTTGGAGTCGACGACCGGGGCATCCGGGAGATCCTCGAGCCAACTGGGGTTGTGCAGGAAGTTCATGCAGTGGACCTCGAAGCTCATGCGGCGGAGGATGATCGCGTAATCCTCCGGGCACTTCGGCTCTCCGAACCCCCTTGCCTCCATCCACGACTTAGCCTTCAGGCGCAGGTCAAGGAAGTCCTTGCGGCGGGCCGCCCGGTAATCGCCACGCTTGCGGAGGTTGGAGCGCACCAGGGGAAAACCCCTCTGGAACTTCTTCTGGCCCTCGTTCTTGGTCGGTCCCACCATGTTCCAGATGTCCTTGGCCGAGAGCACACTGCCATAGCAATTCAGTAGCTCCCTGAGGGTCACTGTCTGGAGATTGAGCCGCCAATGGTGGGGCTCCCTGTCCACCTCCCCTTCCTCCACCGGCTTGGATAGAGCCACCATAGGGTTGAGGAGGTTCCCCACCATCTCCGGGATCTGAAGGCTGTATTGCGCCAATCCGTGCTTGGCGAAGATGGCGTTCACTGAGTGCATGGCCGATGCGAAGGCTTCGTGGCCAAGGTCCGTCCAGCCAGCGTACCATTCATCAGCAGTGACCGAACCCGGCTGCCGGACCCACCTCCACCCCGTGAGGTAGGTCTGTTTCTTACACATCTGCAACATGGCGTTCAGGGTCCGGACCTGGTCTTCCAGAGTCTCAGAGGCCTTGGTCCCTTTCAGCTCCGGGAACGGCTTGTCGAAGAGGGCCGGGTTGAAGAAGGAAGCCGCACGCTGGATGTCAGCCTGGTGCTTAAGGTCACCACCGACAATGTCCTCGGGAACATTTGGTATCGACTGTATGATCTTGTGGACCTCCACCACCTCGGACTGGATCCGGCCGAGAACATCTGGGTCCCTTTCCTGGAAACTTGAGAGCTCCCCCGTGACCCCTTCCGCGTGGCGCTCCACCAGCTCGACCAGCTCCCTGCTCCAAAGGCTGGGCTGCTGGACCACCGGAGTGTAGACAAAATGGTCCTGAAGCTGCTCCGCGTTGCGCTTCTTGTTCTCCTCCCGCTTGGCTTTCTCTTCTTTGTCAAAGGTCATCTCTCGGGGCGCCAATGTCCTACGCATCGCAGCAAGAAGGCCCTGGCCCTGGTTGGTCCCTCTGAGGTTGGCCTCCAACGTGGCTGTAGAGATCTGAGCCATATTGGCGACCGCCCTTTTTTCCGGAAGGAGTGCTGTCTTAGCGACCTCTTCGGCCGCGTCCACGGTGCCCTCCTCCATAGCCGCCTGTTCCAGCTGCTTGAGGTTTTCCATTGCGATGTCCCGGTCCGTGGGCGGCCGCTCCGGCTTCGGGGTCCACCCATCGGCACCTGAGGCAACCGGGGTGTCCCCCTCTGCCTTCGCCGGGACCGGTTCGACCCCAGGTCCAAAGCTGGCCTCCACTGACATGCCGTCGAGGTAGGAGATCACAAAGATGCCCCCCTGTCGCCTCAACCTTGGTAACATCAGAGAGGGAGAGGACGCGGCCAGCTGCATCCAACAGGACGGGACCCGCTGGGCTGTCAAAATGCTCCCAGCCCTGTTGCCCAAAATCCAGGAGGTTTCCCTCCGAGTGAGCCTGAAGGAGGCCCAGTGGGGAGGAGCAGTCCAGGTGATCGAAAATGTTCTTGGCGACCTCGCCCCCCGGGACCACGTCCAGGAGCGTGGTGTTCTTCTGGTCCGGGGTCTCCATCAGCGTCCTGAGGTTGCAGATCGCCATGCCGAGCTTGGTCAGGACAGTCCGGACCGTGGGCACATCCGCATACTCCTTCAAGACGTGGGCCATCTCACCCTTCTGGACCACAAGGAGGAGCGGGAGTGCATCCCTCTCGCAACAGGTGAAGATATCCGCTCCTTGGTTCCTGAAAGCCGACGCCGCCGCCTCGTGAGATGAGGCCCAGGCGACTAGCTTCGAGTGGCACTGGAGCACTGCCAGGGCAGCCCCCGCAGCCGCCCGGAGGACCTTGCCTCTGTGTGTCTTGTTCTCCAGGTTCACCGCCTCGGCAAAGGTAGCCGCCCCCTCGGCCTGGTGGGCCGCATCCTCAAGGGTGATGCGGGCGTTGGCCATGTCCGGGCTATCGACCACGCCGATTTCATGAGGCTTCTGCTCCGGGCCATCCTGAGAATCAAACCGTGGGCAGTCTAAGTCCGAGGCAAAAAGGAGTCCACGGAAGGCCTGATCCTCCATCTTCTGAGCCAGGTCCTCCGAAGAGTAGGCCACCTCCCCCCGGCCATCGGCACCTGAGGCAACCGGACCGGGTGAGGAGGCTTCCCCCATCGGACCGGCAGCGTTGATGGCAGCGGAGAGGGCCCGGCAACTTCCTTTCATATTCCGTCTGGGGCCTGCCGAACTTGTACTTGAAGTCCTCCCTGAAGCTGTTCGAGGTGTTCTGCCACGCACCCTCCACCAAGCGCCAGGAGGATCCATCCGGGGCCGGGGCCTCGATAGAAGGATTGCTTCCCTGACAGGCAGAACCATCTTGTTGCACAGAAAGCACCGGACCCTGAGGGCAGAAGCAAACCTAGCCCCGCAGCCAGGGTCCGAGCAGATATAAGGCAGGGGCGCGGTCGAGGGCCTGGGCACCGTAACTGTGCCAAACCCTTGGCCCTGCTTCTTGAGGATTTCCTCCTGGCGGAGCGTAGCCACTCTGCTGCGGAGGTGGCCCCCGATGTTCAGGATCGCATCCTCGAAGAGCCCCGAGTCCTCAGACTCCACGGCGGCCACCATCTTCTCCACCACCAACTTCGGGAGGGAACGGAGGATGGTCGCGACGTCACTGCGGAAGAAGCGGTCGGGCATCACCTCCGGGGAGACCAGCCTGTATACCGCCTTACTGGCGTCCACGCATTGGACCACCGCTCTGTCAGAGCCCAGCAGCTCGTCTTTCGTCAGGGACGGCAGGGAGAGGATGACCGTGCCGACATTCTTAAAAGGGAGCTTGTGCTTCATGTGCATCAAGCCGCTCACGAACTGACTCGGGTCCTGGTGGAACTCCTTAGAAGTGGCATCCACATGCGAGAGGATCTTCACACGGTCCTCCCGTCGCAGGCAGTTCCATCTGGCCAAGACTGTGCTAGAAAGCTTTTGGCCTTTCACCATGCCCACCTCTTCCGGGACGCAGTACCATCTGCATACTGCCCCCCACCATGGGTGGGACTTGCTAAACAAGTCCATGACCGAGACAAACGGGAGCTCCTTCTGCAACATCACGACCCGATCTTCGATCTGCGGCAGGACCGTCTGAGGGTCTCTTGCCGCATCAAGCTGCTCTTGCACCCAAGCCTGGAGAAGTTCGACGTCTTCATGTTCCACCCAAGCGTAGTCTCCCGAGGTGCTAGGCACCGTGATCGAAGGCGCCTTGTCCGCCAGGACCCAGGAGCCACTGGCCGAGTCGATAAAGCCCGGCTCGGAGAGAGCCACTTCGGGTTCTGCCGATGGCACCCCCGGAGAGGGAGGATCGGCACCTGAGGCAACCGCGCTCCCATCCGCAGGGGTGGGATCCACCATGGCAAAGTCGCCATCAGCCGCCGAATCCGCCGATTCCACCATCTCGACATCCAAAGCTTGAGGTGACACCCCCTGGGAGGGACGATCGGCACCTGAGGCAACCGCGTCCCCTGCCACAGGAGGCTTGCCCTCGGCCGAGGAGCCGCGGCTGGAGGTCAGCAAGCGGTTCCGTTTCGTCTCATCGTACATATCCAGGAAAAGCCGCTGGAGAATGGGGTGTCCCTTGAGGAGACCCAATGTGTCACAGGCTCGAAGCGTTTCTATGACACCGGCTCGCTTCACCGCTTCTTCCGTCTGCGTGGTGACCTTAGCGAGCGAAGCTATCACCTCTTCAAGCACCACACCGTCTGCAGCACCTGCAGGGGCTGCTCTGGAAGGGATTGGGGCAGATGCTGCCTCACCACCATCCTGCTGAACCACAGGATCAGAGAACTCGTCAAGCTCGAAGAGACTCTGTTGTGCACGTTGCGCTGCCAGACTCTGTCGGATCTGGACAGGCACATCATCATGTGCGGCACGCGAGGGGTTCGACATGACCAGCAACAGAAAACAATCAACAAGAAAAAGAACAACCCGGGAAACAGACCCCGCGTCACCGAGACCCGTCGTGAGTCTGACCCAAAATGGCAGCCGGCCCGAGCAGGATGCAGAAGGGAGGCTGCTGGCTTGGCCCTATGACATGCGAGTTGATCAGTGCAAGCACGGATTCCTCTACAATTCCACAAAGTGGTACCGCCATGGGGTAGGTTCTCACTGGTCTTGCAGGGAGGCCCGATTGGTGAATCGGCGAAATTTTGGGGTGTATTTGGGTGGATATCCTGCTCCGCCACAGTTCCGTGCTCATGTTACACTTCAAGTCGCTCGAAGTCGCGAAAGTCCTGGCCGGGCCGCACAGTACACTGTGCCATCGTGCTCTTCGACAGGATCTTGAAATTCGGTTCGAAGGGTTCTCGGAGTTCGACGAAACTCGAAGTCGTGCTCCCGCCACATCCCCCCCGAGATCGCGCTCCCGCAGTTGTAGCATCCAGCCTCCGTTTTGAGAGTAGTTACTAACACACTCGAGCGTACTCGGACATAACAGCCGGTCGGGAGCGACACCTGGTCTCAGAAGGGAGGGACGGTGCCAATGCTTCAGCAGATTTCGCCTAGGCCTAGTCCTAGTGCTTTTGCGGCGGGGCTTCGGAAAGCTGCATACGGGTCCTGCAGCCACAGAGAAAGATACAGGATACTGTATGTCTACATGTACATCTTGTATGTATATGTATGTCTATGTGTGTATATGTATAATGCATGTGCATATACATGTATGCGTGTGTACGTGTGTATGTAGATCATGCATGTGCTTACCTACCTGCATACGTAGAAGAAGGCGTACGCGTATTTTATGCAAACATGTGTATGCATATGTCGAGGTTGTCTAGATGTACGTGAATGTAGATGCGTATATGGTGTATGTAGTGTATGTGTGTATACATATTTACGTGTACATGCGTGCAGGTGCGTTGTGCATGTGCAGGGGTGCGTGCACGTGCCTCCATGCCTACACAGAAAACAACAACATTCATATACATAGGCATACATATATGTGTATACATATTATATATATATATATATATATGCATATCTATATATATACGCAAGCATATATACACGCGTGTGCTTAGCTTACTCATGTATGCATTTGTCTGGATCTACATGTATAGAGAGGTTGTATCTTCGTATGTAGATGTTAACATGTGCACACCTCTTGCATACTACGCTCCTCTCCCACACATACATATACACATGCACCAGTGAGAGAGGGCCTTCGAACGCAGACCCTGGTCGAAGCGGCGGCAACTCGGGCATGCTGGCCGGCGCAATGGCACCTCTTGCAGTCTCAGAAGGGCGGAATCACTACAAGTTTTCAACTGGCATCCTTGAGCTTTGAAACTGTTCTTTTGGGCCCTGCTGGGAGCCGCACTCAGGAAGGTGTCCGAATTGAGCTCGTAGTCGGCATCCGTAAGTGCGGACTGCAATTCAACGGTAATTTGTCGAAAGAGCTCCGACCCATCTGTGCTTTACAGCATTGCCTCAACACCCCATCATAACCAATCAGACGCAACTTCCAATTCACGGCGGGGTTGCAAGCTTTTTCCAGTTGATGTTCACCAAGCCGTTGCTCCTGCGCGCAGGAGGGAGGAGGGAGGCGCCAAACTTATGGGAGCACAAGGGCGACAACTCCGTGGCCTGGGCGGCAGCGCCCCAAACTTTGGCACCGGACCCGGTGCTGGCGCCTGTGTGGGAATGGAAGAGAAGAGAGAACCCGCCGGAGAGCTTTTTGGAGACGTGTTGTGCACCGGTGCAAAGGCTTTCCAGGGAGCGGCCTTGGCCTTGGCCTTTGGGGGTGGCGGACCCCTGGCTTTTGCCTGTCAGACTTTTTCGGGACTGCCAATCCTACGGATTCCATTCAAACGAAGGCAACGGCAAACCTGCATCATTTGCACCGATACCGACAACAGCGCTCTGTTTTGATCCGCTATCTCTCTCGCGATCCCGAGGCGAGCAACATCTGGAAGGTCTCCTTGCACCCGGCATCTTCCCAACCTGCCCGACCGAAAAATCATCGAATCAAGTATGCGCATCTCACTTCCCGCACTTCCCGTCTGTCTGGGTTACACTGGCACACCTTCTGCCCGAGCTTTCTCGAAGGGCACTCGGTGAACCTTCCATCAGTGCATGGACATGTCAGACACGAGGAATCATCAGAATGTCAAAAACATGTTAGAGTGCAGGAGCATGCAGCTGCTGCCTCCACACTCTGCAGCCCTGCGGAAGTGAGCCACCCGTGCAGCGCATCCGCTTCCAGACCTTGGCTGCACATGCCTTCCCGATAATCAGATTCCCTGCCCGCCCTCTTTGGCGTAAGTGCAATCTCGACAAGCCGCCGTCGTGCTCGTAGTGATCACCTCTCGTTTCCGACTTCTTGTGGAAGAGGCGTGCATTCTGAGTGGCCTCTGAGCTGAGTGCAAAGCTAAGCAGTGGCCTCTGCACTCCTGACCCCTTGTCTGTCTTGGCCTCAAAGTCGATGACGACAATCCGGCCAGTGGGCCTTGGAGCGATCGAATCTGACACTAGGGCTCCTTCGCTCTCGGGCGCTTTCCCTGCTGTCGCAACTGCTTGCAGGCGTGGAGCGAGAGGTGCGTTGCAAGCTCGCTAAGCTGAGCTTTGCAGTCGCGGATATGATGGATGCAGAGCAGGCCTTGGCAGACAAGACGGGAAGGGCATGGCCATCTTGTCCAGGGTCTGGCGAGGTATGGGTCACTGCTGTTAATTAGTCTCCCGCTGCTTACAAGGTGCTCACGATCGTGTCGAAGCTTCCCAAGACGTTCAGGGGCCCCTGAGTGGCAACCATCTTGGAGCTCAGGCCAGCTGTTTCAATCTTCTCCTCCAGGACAACACCGGAGGTGGGAAGCCATTCAGTGCAGCTGTCCTGCATGACCTTGAGCATGCCGGAAGAAGCATCCTGAACTCTCTGGCGACAGACTCCGAGCGTACAGTCCTGAGTCTAGTGCTGCCAGGCCACCAGTCCGGTGACGTGACTACAGCTGTCTTTCAGCTCAAAAGACAGCAGTCCTCACTTCATAAACCACAATATGTCAGTCTGCGCTGTGCACGGGTGCGATGACTGCCAGGCCTGTGCCACACCCGAAATCAAGGCACCTGCCCATGGCCTCCGAAGATGAAAGTCTGCTACAGTAGATTCTGCTACACAACCTTCAAGGAGGCACCAGGCACATGAACTGTGGAGTGGGTGCGGCAAGGAAACCACCGAGTGCTGGCACAGCTTAGACTGCCCGAGCACTTTTAGCAAACACTCACTGAAACCTGCTCTGGATGATGTCGTCATCTTATGAGGGGTACAGTGACTAAGGGCGGGCATCCAGCTTCAAAGGCCCAGTGAATCTCTGATTCCGAACGATACACCACTCGCCTCGATTTATAACGCGGCCCAGCCCTGAAGCCATCTGAAGCCTGAAGCCGGCACACACCTCGCTTCCGTGTCGGAACCAGGGACGTCCGCGGATCTGATCGCCCACCCAAGCCTTTTTGGAAAGTGGTCCAAGAGTCTGCTCTGGGGCTCCACGAAAGAAAAACAGCACGTGATGCCTCTCCTGAGCCTCTCGTCCTCTCTCAGCCCGACAGAACTTTCTTGAAGCCGCGGTGCCACTCGCTGCAGCTTCTCGGGTGTATCCCAGCTTGTCGCTCTTGCATCAAAGCTGCTGTTGCCTGGGATGGATTTCAGATGGAATCTACGGCAACGCATGCAGATGAGCCCTTGTATCTCAATGGCAAGCTATCTTGGCCAAGAGTCCCCATTCGCATCCATTTGCCAGCAGCTTGGCCTTGAAGTGTCTGAGTCTTCCCTCCGAACGCCGTGGACTGCAGGTTTAAAGCTCGGCCTGCTTCAAGCTGGCTCTTCGTGCAACCGCCGCCAGATGCCGCAGACCCATGGCTGGAACAGGCACCGGCGACATTCCGAAAATCCTCCTAACACCTGTCGTGTCTCTGACTTCTGTTGCACTGCGCTGCACATGCTCCACTTTGCATCACATATCTGCATGCCACCGAACTCGTCGATTTTATGGTGGCAGGGGACACAGTGACACTGATGGTGAGACGGCGCAAAAGGACAGGGACAGCATCTGCATCAACCTCTGACCTCTCTGCCTGCCTTGGGGGGCGGCGGCGGCGGGGCACTCCGGGGAGAGGCCACGGCGGCGCCGGTGGCGGAGCGTGCCGTGGAGGGCGCCGAGTCCGAGGGCACCGAGGCAGAAGCGGCAGCCGAAGAGGCAGCGGAAGCAGCGACTCCGGGCGCCGAGGCGGGCAGCCTTCATCTCTGAGGTTGCAAAAAGGGCCGAGACGGAGGCCCTTGGGTCCCAGCGATGCTGCCGCCTTTGCTTCCTGGCAACAAGCAACAGCACTCAGAGACTCTTTGTGAAGTTGGACATCTTTAGAAGAAGCTCCTCTTCGGCCTTTTCCAAAGCTGCGACCTGTGACTAAGACATCTCGACTCGGCTCTCTCCGCAAATACAAGCGCGGAAACACCGCACCTCGTCGCGGAGCTGCTGCAGCTCCGCCTCCTGAGTCTCCTGTGCTGCGAATGCAACACGAAAGTGGCGCATAGAAACGCAAAGCGCAGCTCGCCCAACTGCGAAGACCACCCCGGCCACCCCACTGGCCTTGCTGGTGCCCTGTGCATGCTGCAGCTCTGCCTGCATCGCACGCAGGATGCGAGCCCTGGACACCGCACATCACTGCGCCTGTAGCTGGAGGAGCTCACGCTCCGCAGGACAGAATTGCTGCGCAAATGAAAGGCGCCGTCCTCGGAAAAAGCTCCGGCTTCGAATTGCCAGAAGTGAGACCGGCCCGAACCTCGATCGCCTAACTTTGTAGCGGTCTCTTGAAGTCGCTGGCGCCACCTGGCGCGAGGAGCTGAGGCAGAGGTCTCTCGTGGGATCACTACAAACCATCATCCTTCACTTCCAGATACTCGCGGATCTCTGCAACAGCACGCGACTTGTTGCGTTTGGCATGCAAGACAACAGCCAGCCCACTGTCTTCCGCCCAGCTGGAGGTCTTGTAACTCTGCCTGGAAGCATGATGAAGGTGAAGTCTTCAAGCGCTGTGCACGGTCTAGATACCCCTTCAAGCAAACAACCATGATTTGCTGTTAAAAATT